ATGTTTCAATACCTGGTGAAATCATTTAATATCAGGTGAAATCACTGAATATCAGATGAAATAATTGAATAAAGGGACCATCCATTCTCAAACAATCAGTCACTTTCTGTACCTGTTTCAGATCGAAGCTTTTCAGAATTGCAGAACTTTTACTATAGATCATGTTTCAATACCTGGTGAAATCATTCAATATCAGGTGAAATCACTGAATCTCAGGTGAAATAATTGAATAAATGGACCATCCATCTCACAAAGTCAGTCAAACAGACTGTGTTTCAGATCAAAGCTTTTCAGAATTGCAGAACTTTTACTATAGATCATGTTTCAATACCTGGTGAAATCATTCAATATCAGGTGAAATCACTGAATATCAGGTGAAATAATTGAATAAAAGGACCATCCATCTCACAAAGTCAGTCAAACAGACTGTGTTTCAGATCAAAGCTTTTCAGAATCGCAGAACTTTTTCTATAGATCATGTTTCAATACCTGGTGAAATCATTCAATATTAGGTAAAATCACTGAATATCAGGTGAAATAATTGAATAAAATGACCATCCATTCTCAAACAATCAGTCAATTTCTGTACCTGTTTCAGATCAAAGCTTTTCAGAATTGCAGAACTTTTACTATAGATCTCCCAGGTCACTGTGAACAGTTCACTGTTACGCAACTGGGAGGTTTCAACATGATAGAATCGCAAATGTCTTCTAACCAGGGCCGACTGGCGTAATGAATAGATTCTTATGGGAAGAAATACTGGGAAGACTAATCTACAAGAGGAGACTCTTCATTCTAAACATTACCATTGTTGTAAATCTACACATTTTACTCCTTATTTTTATCCAAACTATTAAGAAATTAAAGGTACCTCTAGCAGACCACTTTGAAAACCACCCATTGCAATATATGCTAAATGAAAAGATGGTAAAAGGAAAGACCCAGGGAAGTCCTCAAATAATAGTAAACTTCTAAAATATATATGATTTCTCGTGAAGTACCAGTTCATGCCAACATCAATTTGCGACCAATTTGTTACGAAAGCTACACCGTGGTTATGATATTAGACCATGGTCGTGATAACGATTTATCTAAAGCCATTGATCAGAGTGATGCAATCTCAATTTACTCTTTCTACCCTAAAGTCTCTTTGTCTAGCTACACTCTCCTCTGACTGCTACAGGTGATTTCACAGATTTGGTGCTGATTGGATATTTGTTTCTTATTAGATACCCCCTCATTGGATATCATCCATATCCAATAGATATTCAAAAAATGTTGTCCCCTTTCCTCTCTTCCTCAAAGCTGACCATTTGTTGATTTGTTTCAGAATGTATCTTTTTATACACCTTCAACTTAAAACATGCTAAGTCTGTTATAGAAAATCAGGGTTTTCATAAAAACTTTGAGTTGTTATTGTAAAGAGACTTTATGGATGCCTGGCCTGTATAATATATTTAAGTCAAATGATTGAATGACTCGTATGTTTCAATTTTGCATTTTTCTATTTTCATATTTGCTGTTGCCGTCTGTTGCCATCTATGATGACCTGCAACAAATAATATCTCTACAAATTGTCTATGAACATCTAGGTGAGTAAAATTTTAATTAAGCGCTACTAGATTTATTTATTATTTTAAATCAGGATTTATTCAAGCTAGTGTGCTTGGGGTTGCTTATGGAGCTGTCACACTTAGGCTGTGTGGGCTCACCGTTCACCACCATGTGAATACTTTGGGGCAGATGATGGGACATGGGATACGTGGTGGGCAAAACAAATAGTTTTACAGCTAGATATCTCCTATAACACCAAATACAAAAATTAATTGAAAAATTGATGCCCAGAATTAGCCACGGTGGTGAACGGTGAGCCCACACTGCTAATGTGACAGCTACTTCAGATTGGTTCAATTGAGGGTGAATGATATACAGGGTGTTTAGTAATTGATGAGACTTGCACTTTTAGGATTAAGATTGACACCCTGTATATGGATGTTAGTTACATTTTTGGTGAGTGAGACAGAGTATGCTATTTGGAAGCTCAGGGTAGAAAACGGGAGATAGATGGGGAGAGACTGGTGAGGAAGATGAGAGAAGAGACAGACTGAGTCTAACTCAGTTTAAGCTAGTTAGAGAGACAGTATAGTTGCTGACCAGTTTGACATTCAGTCAAACATCATACCTAAGAATTCCAAGATGAAAATAAAGAATATAATCCAAAGATCAGGGTTGTGTGACTGATTCACTTAGAATTAATTGGCAGTTTCAAAATGGTACACTTGGTGTCACAAATATGTAATATTGCCATAGATGAAAGGGCCGCTAAGAATCCATGTAGCCCTATATAACAAATCAGTGAAAGCAGAACAATATCTACAGATATTTATAACATGAAATACTCTTATAGAGTATTGGCATTAAGCGATAATTCTGACAATTCAATGAGATAATTTTAGAAAGAGAAAAATGCCCGGTCGTAAATCAATTTATCATATCGTAACCAGCGGTTACAGTACAAATATAAAAGTTAGAACATCGAAATTGAAATAATTGATATATCGAGAACAAATATTGGATTGTAGTCAAACATCGACATCAATGAAAGTTATAATTTGCAGGCTTCATGCATCGTATAAACATTGATTGTAATAGTGCAATGTAGCTTAATAGCTTCACGATTATGTATCATCTATCCGCATTATCTCACATCTTCCGCCAGGGAAGCAATGATGAATTGACGAGATCCTAGAGTGGACAGAATCCATAGAATACAGTCCCATCAAGGGCAAGTTTCTTGTGCTCTAGTTAATCATGCAGCATGTTACATACACAATGTGCAATCTGTTTTACCTATCTTGTCATCATGTTACCATTTGGCCATTTGAGTCATATATACAGACATGGCACAATCTAGCAAAATACATGTATGATGATAATTACCAATTTAAATTATTGGTAAGCAGTTATGATATAGGCAGACAAGTGTTTCATCAGTTATGGTAAAGACAGACAGCTCTTTCAACAGTTATGGTAAAGGCAGACAGCTCTTACAGCAGTTATGGTAAATGCAGACAGCTCTTTCAGAAGTTATGGTAAAGGCAGTCAGGTCTTTCAAAGATTATGGTAATGGCAGACAGGTCTTTCAGCAGTTATGGTAAAGGCAGACAGGTCTTTCAGCAGTTATGATAAAGGCAGAGAGGTCTTTCAGCAGTTATGGTAAAGGCAGACAGGTGTTTCAGCAGTTATGGTAAATGCAGACAGCTCTTTCAGAAGTTATGGTAAATGCAGACAGCTCTTTCAGCAGTTATGGTAAATGCAGACAGCTCTTTCAGAAGTTATGGTAAAGGCAGTCAGGTCTTTCAAAGATTATGGTAATGGCAGACAGGTCTTTCAGCAGTTATGGTAAAGGCAGACAGGTCTTTCAGCAGTTATGATAAAGGCAGAGAGGTCTTTCAGCAGTTATGGTAAAGGCAGACAGGTGTTTCAGCAGTTATGATAAAGGCAGAGAGGTCTTTCAGCAGTAATGATAAAGGCAGAAAGGTCTTACAGCAGTTATGGTAAAGGCAGACAGGTCTTTCAAAGGTTATGGTAAAGGCAGAAAGGTCTTACAGCAGTTATGGTAAAGGCAGACAGGTCTTTCAGCAGTTATGGTAAAGGCAGACAGGTCTTTCAAAGGTTATGGTAAATGCATTAAGGTTTTTCAGAGGTTATGGCAAAGGCAGAGAGGTATTTCAAGAACGTTTTGGGTGGAGTTTGAACAAAAATAAGCAGGGACTTTCTGGAGAAGAGACAGTGCACTTTGGGTGTGTCTTTAACAATGAATCAATATTACATTATCATGTAGAATGCATCATATACATATACAATACATTATAATTGGTACATGCTATCTAAGGAGACAATAATGGATATCTGATACGGACCACAGATGTGTCAGTCCGAGTAGATTCTAGATAATTCATTTATATGAAATTAAATCTGAAATTGTTTTGTATCCTGTGTTACCTTGGGAACTAATTAGTTCTTGCTGATTAATGTTGCCACGGTTACCATTTTGTATCATCAATATGGTGTTTTATAAGTAAATGCAATTAGTCAGATATATTGTTTGACGCTGATATTTTTGTTGTTCAAAAATGTAATTTGTAGATATCTTATCTATAAGCTATTTTTGCCATTTACATTGGTATTGATTCCCATCAATATAAATCTGGGTTTATTGAAATACCATTTTTCGTTATTTTGATTTGGATGATAAATTCTATTGATGTGAATTGTTTTGTAATTGAACTGATCGAATGTGTTATTCCTTTTCATGAACACATCTGATAACCCGTCAGCACCTGAGATAATTCCCCCAGTTGCCATTTAGAGAGTGCACTGTGCCTTTATTGTACAGTATTGTAGAATTGAATTATTAGGCAGTTTACAAGCTATAGATACCCATACATATATATTATTTGTATGTTTTTGACATTCGACAACTTTCGCCCAAAATTGCTTGAAAAGAAAAACTGCATGATTTTGAAATAATTTTTGGCCAAGGGTTGGGGGGCAAGCCCCCTCCCTGGAACCCTCAGCCCCCCCAGGCTATGGGTCTGCATGCCATTGATATGTTGTAGAATGATAATATAGTATGAGATGAATTTAAAATCTAATTCATATTCCAGAATGATTCAAGCTCTATTAAGTAACTGCCAAAAGGCATCAATTGACTTGAAAAAAAGCTACAAAAGAAAATAATGATGGATATAGCAATGGGTTTGATTTAATGAGCACTAATACTGCTATAGTATCAGGTGATCATTAAGAAAAGTACCAAAAGGGACCAAGGATCAGGATCAAATGAAGGGATCATCTCAACATGGTCCTTTCAGGATAATCAAGGGATCGTCTCAACATAGTCCTTTCAGGATAACTAAGGGATCGTCTCAACATAGTCATTTCAGGATAATGAAGGGATTGTCTCAACATAGTCCTTTCAGGATAATTAAGGGATCGTCTCAACATAGTCCTTTCAGGATAATGAAGGGATCATCTCAACATAGTCCTTTCAGGATAATGAAGGGATTGTCTCAACATGGTCCTTTCAGGATAATGAAGGGATTGTCTCAAGATAGTCCTTTCAGGATAATGAAGGGATCATCTCAACAGGGTCCTCTCAGGATAATCAAGAGATCATCTCAAAATGGTCTTTTCAGGATAATCAAGGGATTGTCTCAACAGGGTCCTCTCGGGATAATGAAAAGATCCTCTCAATATGGTCTTTTCAGGATAATCGTGTCAACATGGTCCTATCTAATATTTCTTCTGAGAGACATGACCCAATATGAGAGTACTATACCATGGTGCAGAGCTTTAAGTTCCAAACTTGAACCCTGAATAGTTTAAGACAATTTTACAGTAAGTGGCCCTGCCCCCACTGCTAGTGGATGTCACAGTCCAGGTTGTAAATCATTTCAAAGTCACCAAGCTGACATTTTCTCAACCAATCAGCGAGCAGAAAGAAACCCATTTCGGTGATGTTTTAATGTTAGTCAATACTGGCTCAAGAATAATGTTAGATGAAATGACTATATATAGAAAATTGTCTGACCGATGACAATCTCTGGTTGGCTCTGTGAGTTCAGAGGTATCTCATTGAGAACATAGATGAAGCTCTCTTTTAAGAAGCTAAGTCAAATGAATGCAAAGGGTTAAGAGTACTAGGGCATAAGTTCAGATATGTTGTGGTAACGTAACCTTTTGGAACCCTAACACTGAATTCTACTCTGTCATAGATGTCATACAGGGGATTAGCTGTTAATGACATCGGGGATTATACCTTGAATCTCCCATGATTTACATTGTGACCTGACAAAGTATACCTTGTTGTCAAGATTCAGCATCACCGATCAAACAAAAGCTGAAAGAAAATAACTAGTATGGAATTTAATTGACCAGAAAAATTGTGTTTATCATCATGATAGCATAACAAATCTAATAAATATTCATGTATTGTATTTTACGAAATAAAGGATAACGATAACAATAAATAACGCTATCTTAACAACAGGGAATGAACTGAATCTTATATCCAGGGCATCATTTGAATGATTTATCCACTGGATTAGTGGTAAATCTCCTCACTAGGCCAGATATTGGACTGAGAGGCAATTCACACCTCTGTAGCAGTATTATTGATATCATGCAATGTACCATAAATCTATTAAAGAATTTTTATTGTACTTTCAAAGTACTATATTGTCAGCATTTAGGTGGGTGGATGAGACTATTGTACTTTCAAAGTGCTATATTGTCATCATTTAGGTGGGTGAATGAGACTATTGTACTTTCAAAGTGCTATATTGTCATCATTTAGTTGGGTGGGTGAGACTATTATACTTTCAAAGTGCTATATTATCATCATTTAGGTGGGTGGATGAGACTATTGTACTTTCAAAGTGCTATATTGTCATCATTTAGGTGGGTGGATGAGACATAAGTATTGTTAGGAAAACTACTAACCTGTTCAACTTGAAATTTTACATATGCAAGAGTAGACTATTTCCAAGATCTGACTAGGCTTTGGGCACTGTGTATCTTGTAATAATTGATTATTCTAGATTCTTGCCATGCCTTAATATGCTAGAAAATGTTGAAAATGTACATAATTTGAAATTTCCTTTCGACCAAGAGACTCCATACATATGGAATCTCAAGTAGGGCACTGAACTATAAGATTGACATTTTTATTGTTGAACAGTGTCGGACAAACATTTGTATCATGATCATGTCAGCTGAATTCCTCGTAGATTCAGGGTCTTTGCTCTATTCACATTCAACATCTGATTCCTTTATCAAATACAAATCTTTTCAACTTTTGCATAACTTTAAAGACAAATATGAAATATAATCCTGAGTCGAATTTGTCAATATTTGTGAATGCTATAATATGGGAAGTTTAGTGTTTGGTTATGGTACAATACAATATAATGCTATAATACAATATATTAGGGAGGTTGTTGGAGTCTTGATCTTAGCACTTGCTTTGGGATTACAACTGGCATGCACATACATTAAATATTGCATTACATTTATGGCATATTATATCAACATTAAGGAACATGCAGCAAATGCAATCATTTTCTATTTTGTTTAATTACTATACCCTTAACTCTACTCTACTATACCTACCTGTGTGTGCTTATGCTATGGTGCTGTAGTATGCGCAAACATTGGAAAAGACTATTTTGATCACATTTTATAGCATATATTTTATCCCAGGAAGTGTCGTAGTTGTTTAAATTGAGGGGTCTATAAAATGTACCATGGTCATTTAAATGACCAATAAAATGTATGTAACTCGGATAACAAGAACTTAATACAATTAAACCTTTCTGCCTAATGGCACTGGGACGAGACAAAAGTGTTCAAATAGCAATCATTCACATTTCTTGGTTTGTTTCGAGGATTAATAGGAGATAAAGTAGGGGCAAAGTAGGTGTAGAATATGTCCATAGTTGTTCAGATTACCAAGGTGTTCAGATATACAAGTTTTAGTGTAAATAATTGCTCACTCTTTGAGCTAAAACTTTATATTGCAACTTTGACTTTTTGGGTTAAAACTTTTTATTGCGGCTTTGACTTTTTGTCCTAAAACTTTATATTGCGACTTTGACTTTCGGGTTAAAACTTTTTGTTGCGATTGTGACTTTTTGGGTAAAAATTCCTATTGCAATTGTTACTTTTTATGGGTAAATCTTCTTTTTGCGATTGTGACTTTTTGGGTTAAAACATTCTTGTTGGGATTGTGACTTCTTTGGGTTAAAACTTTTTGTTGCGATTGTGACTTTTTGGGGTAAATCTTTTTGTTGAAATTCAATTGTGACTCTGTCTGCCCATAACTTATAACCACACCCATATCATCAATCCGATCATCCTCTTTTCTCAATCTGAATGTGTTTATTGAACTGTGGGATTATGGGTAGCAACCTCCATTGATTCCATACTGGTTGTCAGCGGTGGCGGTAGGCATATATTTTTGTGAGTCATCATGACTCAGGTAGTTTCAAAAAAGTGAGTCACAAGAAAAAAAGTTGAGTCAAAGCTATAAAAGTGTTTTTCTTGAGTAAAAATGCATACAAAATGTAGAAACCACATACAAAATCTATTTTTTGATTTTGTGCATACCTTTTATTGTACTCTTATAGCACATTAACAACTAACAATTAATTAATTAGGCAATTGCAAGAAGAATGTCACTATTAATCATCTGATTATCTGGTCCAGCGAGTCATGGGTGTGAATGGAGTGGGAGAGGAGTTTCTCCCTGTGTGGAGTTACACAAATTGGGGTCAAAGCGTTTCATGTTGAAATACAACATTTTTGCAATCATTCCAAAGTCTAAAACGGCAATATAAGTCCGACCACAATACTGGGCATCATTTAAATTGAATACGGTAGAATCTTGTAATTATAAAATGAAACCGAAAGTAGATTTGTTTTCATACCTAATTTATCATCATTACCCCCCTTAATGTGCGATCGACTGGATTTTCATGTGCCCATTATCTATCTTCATAGGATCAGCTTCAGATCTAGTGAATCGAAGATCTTAACTTGAGGGAGTTAATTGAAAATACTTGGTGAAAACTTACGATAGATCGGTCTGTGAGCACCATTGATAAACCTACTGCGCATTACATCTGCGCATGCTGATGAAGGGGACGGCTCAAGCAAGGAGGATTGGCTCCCAGAATGCAACACCGATATTCTGCAAAACAATCACCTAGCGATAGCTTTGTTGGAGAGTATCGGGTCATTCTCCATGCAGTCGTACAAATTATACAGACACGAATAGCAAATGACGCATGCGTGGAGATTAAAGAATATCGAGTTGGAACCCTGGCTTCCAATCCTCCTTGGGCTCAAGGAAACTTGCTAACTTAGCGAAGGAATTTTGCGAACTTGCGAAGGAAACTAAAGGTTCGTAAATCTAGCGTGTGAACATTCAAGGAAAGATTTTATGCGGTAATTTAGATAAATATACGATCACTAAAATCCTTAGAAGGGAGTATGAAATTAATAAATTATTGTTCAATGTTATGTTCGTTTTATTGCATTTTTGATACGCCCCCTAGCACACGAGATAAACAAATCGAGGGATCGATCAATGTTTTCAAGTTTATCATTGAATCTGAATCACAGGGCTTTAAAAATTATATGAAATACCGAAATAAGAAAATGATCGGTAGGAAGGAGGCTCGATTGCGCTGAACGAAATGTTAGATTTCCGGAATTAGCAAAATTATAAATTTGATCAATCACGTATTTTCACGTATAGGGATCAATTTAACCAAGTACCAAGCGGGGATTTTGCATGTGAAACAAACGTGCGTCAGAAAGACTCGGTAGACAATGAATATTTGCGTCAGAGTTGCAAAAATGTGAGTAAAAAACGTAAAAAATTGCGTTAACGCCACCTCTGGGTTGTAGACTACATGTATGATGCACTGAGATGGGTTGTAAAGGTTGTACATGCCCTTCTTGTTGTATAGCCTCTGTATTGCATAAGTTGTTTAAAATAACCGCACATGAAACTCATACCTGACGACCTTCCAAGTGAGTATCCTGCCCCCTGTAGTTGTCTGTGGTTAACAATCTTATTTAACAGATATCTTGAATGAAGTTTGTAGCATAGGTTTGCACCTAATAAACCTCCATTTGTTTTTATTTAACATTTGATAATGCATTTGATTAAATTTTTGATAAGATTTGTAGTTTGTAGTTTTCTGTTTGTTGGTAAGGTGAAGCCTGCTTTGGACTAAGACCAACTCTCCCAGAAATAAATAGGAAAATATACAACTAACAGATATCTCCATAAATCTAAGCTTGAGAGGTTCAAAGCTTGTATTCCTTGCTATTTTAGTGATCCCTGATGGTTTAGGGGGCTGAGGTCCAAAGGGAGAAAGGATGCCATGGGAACTGATTCCCAGATAAATAGCCACATTGTGGGAGGTTGCGAGACATTAAACATGGGAGTGTTAAGAATACAGACTTAGGGATTACATACGAGATATCTTGTCAAGGGTCTTGAGGTAGAAATAATTACATTTCGGCTTAGATGACTTAACACTGACGTCATAAGATGTAGAAATAGCTGTCGACAGTAAAATAAGCATAAGGCTCCCTAGTGCACTCATAATGTATATTTTCTCATAGTAAGACGTGTCTATGTGTATACATTAGTAGATTATCTCTGCATGAATTATCTTGGGACCTCTTCTGTAATCCTGATTTTTCGTCTACATTTGAACACCCCCACATTAACTATTATGGATGATTCGGTGATTCCCTGATTTGCTTCCTTGGCCTGTATTTCAATGTCTATATTTTATTCAGTTCTATAATTCACCATGCATGAAATTGAATTAAAACACCTTGGAAAAAATACGAAGCTATGAGTGATATATATTTCTAGGTTAGATTGACCCAGCAATAAATATTGTTTACAAAAATCACCTTTATCATTTATCCTGTTTGAGTTCTTGTGGTTGAAACATTTGTCAAATATTTATCTGACAACATCATTTAATAAATCAAGGTTCTTAGATCAATTGATGATAAATCTTAGCCAGGATAAGACGGGTGGGGGCCCGTTGGTGGGGGTATAATGCAAGGAGTGGTTGAACTAACCAGTGCAAAAAAGATGTGTTATTCCCAGTGTACATGTGATAATGATTATAAACTGATTATGACATAATGGATGAAATCTTATGTAAGATCCTATATTGAATATATACTAATCTGATTTATCGTTTCCCACAGGTGGATTACATCTGCCTGTCAATGTCAGTTTGTATTACACGAGACCACTGTCTTAAGCCTGTTCAATCATGCTTCATAATATTATATCTGCGAGTATCCATCTCAGGAAAGTAATGTTTGTTTTTTATGTCACCACCACCTACAATGGTGGCATAATGTTATAGTTTCCAACTTTTTTGGATGTTGTTCAATGATTGGTGCTTGGTGGTTGGCATTTGGTGTCTGTAACAAATGGCAGGTGGTGACATTTTGCATGTAAATGTCTTGTATTTAATTGTTATGTATATATATAGACTGACTGTCATATTCTTTAATGAAGTCACAGTCATCTTTCTTCAAAGGACTTCATTTATGCTTAAATTCATTATGGAAAGAAGTGAAATTTGTAACCCTTGGACCAAAGATGGTCATAGCCAATATGTCAGTAGAGGCAAACCAAAGTACAGTACAGTACAGTACAGTATATGTAATGTGTTAGACCGTTGGTGTACCAATCTACTGTAGTAAAAAAGTATTGACAATCATCTACTGTCGGATGACACTGGTGGATCTGGGGGCCCATCCCCCCCCCCTTGGGTGGGCCCAGAAAAAAATTGAGCCCAAAGAACATTTTGGGCCAAAAAAGTGGGGCTTTTTGGTTATTACTCCCCCAAACATCCCCCCTTGTTGGTTCCCAGATCGGCCCCTGGATGAAGATGTCAGAAATTCCTATTTCCGAGAAATAAATGATGAATCTGCAATCCTTACACACAATGTACAACAATACTTCCCTGCTATCAGCTTTAGTGTAAGGCTAATGACCCTATTGATGATAATGTTGATATATAGGATGATGTCTAAGACGTACTTAGATGATATTAACTATAGCCATATAGATGAGTAGAGACATTAAGGAGATGACTGGATACTTCATACGCTAATCCTATAACATAAAGACCACTTTATGGAACAACTATAGAAACATATTAGTGAATAAGGTCATTGGGGAAAGGGCAAACTCTCGCAAGGAAACCTCTGGAAATGTTGATGTCAGTGGGGAATATTTTGAAAAATCATGTTTTCAAGTATTGCCTTCTAGATTTTTTGTTTAAAATCAATATTTGGAAGAAATTTACAATTGAATTTTACGTGATCATTTGGTACTTTTTATTATTACGTATGGTCCTTATCATATCGCTTTAACCTTAAACTGAATACATAATGACTGAATGAATCAGTGCAGTGAAATGAATCTAGTCACGCCATAAGAAATCATATTTCATTGTAAATCAATTTCTTTATGATATAAGGATAATGAAAATAATATATTCTCAGATTTCTATACTGTAATTATCATATCAATCTTCCGTGACATGCATTGCTGTTTATGATTAGCACAGTTAGTCTCATATCATATAATAATGGCAGAAGAAACGTCAGAAAATCCAAGTAGATGATTCAGAAATATGTTGACGTGATGTTCATATTGTCAAAGTCTTATCAAGAATTTGAGAGATTATGGCTGCATTTTTGTACATGATTTTTTGGACAGTGAGCAAGGTTTTGATCCTAAAAATTAGCTAGATTGTAGTTAGATTGCGAAATAACGCTGTGGAAAACAAGTAGATATTTCGCAACTATATCATATAATTCACTTGCTCCACAGTCACACCCAAAGTCCAAAAACTCCAAAAATACACCCAAAGTCTTCCCAAGAATTGGAGGGATTAACTCATCATTGAAATGGACAATGTGCTAATAAATTAAATTCACTTACGATGGGGTCATATGCAAATACACCCAAAGTCTCCCCAAGAATTGGAAAGATTATCTCATTTATGGAAATGGACAATGTGCTAATAAGCTAATTTGTTGAACATTTTCAATCCATGAACTTCCATGATTGTCTTTGTCTACTGCTATTAGGATGTGAGTGTTTTGAAAGTTATCTATTTTGATGCTCATTGAATGCTCTTCTCATGTCCAAGGGGAATAAAGGTGTGATTGCTGACCATGGACAAGTGTGAAGCACTGTGTCAAACACCATTGGGGTTATGCATTAGGAGTATCAGAAGTAAATATACAGGACAGGCAATTGCTTTAAAGTAGTTCAACCTCTAACTTTGATTTTAAAATATACCAAAATTGATAAAATTCTGAATAGCCTTTACTTTGCAACTTACTTTACTGTCAGGAATTAATTGCCTTTCATTCAATAATGTGTTTGAGTTGCATGTACCACATTTAGGAAAATGAACTGATTTGAATAAGTATTGTATTTTAACCTTTACCATGCTGCCTTATTTCAGCAAATATATCCCACGCAACTGGCTTATTTTTCAAAGAGTGCAAAAAATGATATACCTGGACTAAATAATTAATATCTCAATAACTACTGAATGAATCTGGATAAAATTTTCACAAAGGGAAGATATAGTGGCCTGGCTCATGAAAAAAATGTTCTCATGAATTTTTTCGTACATTAACACGACTGGGCATAAATATACCATGAATACTCCTCCGGAATCCGCCGCTCCGCCTCTTCGTCTGGTCAGAATCCAAATCTGAATTTGCAGCGATCGAATGTTCAATTTTTCAATTCAGAAAATATTCTAGTTTCTATTTTCGATGACCGTTATCGGCTTCCAAGAGCCTAAGGAGCTCGAAATCGTAATCTATTTCCTCCACATTTTCGTTGTGATCGTATTTGTCCGCCATTTTGTACGATTCTATCACTAAAAACGACTAAAACACTGTTCAAATTGTTGAATTGAGAATTATTTTTCGAAATATCGCCATTTCTAGGTCAACAGGAAGTCATGTTAGGCACTGAATAAATCGGGCAATCTAATTGGACAATACGAATGGCGCGAAAAAGTAAAGTTTTTAAAAGTTTGAAATCGGGCGTACGGGTCCGCCGGCAGTTGTGAGAGACATTTTAGTCTCGGCGGACGAGTCCGCCGGCAGCACGCTAAAGGTTAACATCAAGTTGTTAAAGGTTGAGCCACTTTAATGGTAAGTGATAGAATACATCAGATGAAATCAATTTATTTTTTAAACAATGGCATATCCTACCTCCTGAAGTCAGTAAAACTGATTTCGTATTTTTCAGTCAGAAAGTCAGAATCAATATGAAAAAAGTTGTAAATATTGTAGAAGTTCTAGTACCTAGAATGCACTTAGTTCTACTCTTGTTCCTCTTCATTATCTTTATAGCCAGAGTTTCATGTGCAGTTAATGGTAATATGACTTCATAGGTCATGGATGGTCAGTGTTGTAAACCTGTTATCACAACTAGACATCTTAACAACTGTCTCTCCTCAAAATAGGTGAACATTTTGAGCACATAGTAGAGAATGTTTCAGTGTAAACTGAGGTAACATTTCTACAGCTACTTTGCCATTATAACTTGATTATAACTTGATTATATATTTCTGAGAAGCACTAACGAAAAGGGCATTTAGTAATCAAGAGGATATAACCAAGAGGGCATTTGTTAATCAAGAGGGTATTATCCAAGAGGGCATTTAGTAATCAAAAGGGCACTAACCAAGAGGGTATTAACCAAGAGGCAGAGGGCATTTGTTAATCGAGAGGGTATTAACCAAGAGGGGAGTGATTAATCTAAAAAGGTATTTACTAAGAGGCAGAGGGCATTTGTTAATCAAGAAGGTATTAATAAAGTGGTGGAGGGCATTTGTTAATTAAGAGGGTATTAACCAAGAGGGCATTAATTAATCAAGAGGGTATTGACTAAGAGGCAGAGGGCATTTGATAATCAAGAGTGTATTAATCTAGAGGGCATTCATTAATCAAGATGGTATTATAACCAAGAGGGCATTAATTAATCAAGAGGGTATTACCTAAGAGGCAGAGGCATTTTTTAATTAAGAGGGTATTAACAAAGAGACAGAGGGCATTTACTAATCAAAAGGGTATAAAGGAGTATGCTTATAAATAAGTGTACATCTTTATAGATGCGACTCATAAGGAGCTGTCAAAAACATTTGGTTTGATCAACAGTAATTATGATATAAATTAGAAAAGGTATTATTTTCATATCATGTTCATTACAAATGTGATTTTCTAATCTCAGAACGTTATTAAAACAGTGATAAAGGTCGAGAAAACAGCACGTGTTTATGTGAACTCGTGTTATTTTCTTTGATAATAATTTGACAATAGTTAGAAAAACACTTCTTTGAAGTTGATGATCATTTCCTTGATTCTGTTTCTGTATGTCCTTGCTGATGTGTTGTTAATTGGTATTCTTGTAAAGACGTAGATTCCAATAGATTGATTGTCTTGTTTTGTTGTAAAGGATCTCTATTCAACGAGCATGTTCTCGGGGAATAATATTTTCTCATAATGACAAAAGGTGAAAGATTCCAAGGTTTGGCACACTTACCGGAAAGTACTCTTGGTCACTTTGGGGAATTATGATAAAGAGTCACGGATGAAGTTGGGAAGAATAGGCAGCCTGAAATACCATGATTGCATATAAGTCATTATTTTCATCATTCCAAGTTGTGTTCGTATTAGTGGGGCTATTAACATTTTGAACCTTATTAGAAAAATCAATATCACATACTGGTGTATGTTTATGTGTTTATTTTTTGGATGAGTAGTTATTTACGTCATCATGAGACTTAATCCGAATCTGCATCCTTATGGTGGTCTAATATAACTAGTGTCCTACTACTTTAATGGTGGTATTCAATTAGAATACTTCTCATCTAAAAATGTATATCTTAGCAAAACGTTTTGTATCTCTTTCTCTTCTGCTCCTGGATACAATAATTGCTCCTGGATACAATGATTGCCCCTTGATACAATAATTGCTCCTATCCTGGACGCAATATATGATGCATGAGAACATCTCATTGGATAGATTATATTAAAGTTGATTATAAAATAGAGATATAGGGGTATCACATGTTGTTATATTCATCTACATCATTCAGTCATTCACTAACGTGCTTACTAAAAACCAGGAACCTAAGTCACACATCTACATCATGAGATATCACTGCCTCCTATCAGTTTCCTTCTTTGTATGGCAGAGATGGTATGGGTATCGGAATGAAACATCTATAGCATTGAGATAACAAAAACCACAGACTTGAAGAAATTTACCAATTCATCAATGGCCAGATCTTTATGCAAGATTTATCATTGAATCGAGGTACTTTAGTTCTGTCAATTGCTTCAATAACTTCATCTGTTTTAGCAGTATGAAGGACTGTAAGTTTTAATGATAAATCAGGATCAACTTGACTTGTACTTTTGTGATTAGAAATTGAATTGCATTTTATTAAAAGAACTGTGCCACATGGTCTGTTTAGTGTAGTGCTCTTGTCGCACAGTGATGAGGAAATCTTATTAGTATCGAGAACTATAATTATATATTGTCACTTACAATAAGTGTGATAGTGAGCTATACAATATTGTATTGTGTATATTGATTATATGGAATATATAACATATCATTAGTGCCATTTGCTAATTATCCCTGGTCGCTGGACAGTCTTTCTCTTGAGCTGTCACCGTAATTGCAACTGAAGCATTTATGTATAAGATACTCTCTTACTATTGACTCTGAAGCTTTTGCTCTATTTGCTCTAACAACACATCCTTGATCAAAGGGTATTTCTTTTCATGATATAAGCATAAATGAAGTCCTTTGAAGAAGGATGAAAATAACATAATTTCATCACCGATTCTATCAAAAACAAACATGTACCCAGTCACCCAATAATACATTCTTGGGGGCTGCTTAATGATTTGTGAAATAGGATGAGTTATTGAAAAATCATACATCAACTGGTTTAGATAATCATGAATGATGGGGTTAGAATTGTACAAGAACATGCAATTATGTATTTTTCTTACTGAACTCCTAGCCCTAAGTCTAAAATGGAAAATACTTGTACAAGTATTATGTATGGACAAATGATCTATAATTGTGCCAAATTTTAAAACAGATCTCAATATAGAACTTGAGATAGGGTTAAAATTGCAAAACTTTTTGATGCACCCAAGTACCATGGATGACTTATATTCAGTTTGTCTTGAGGGCTTGTTCCCCGAATAATACTCAGATAGA